GGGGAGGGCCGGAAAGTGGAGATGGCTGCAGCGGGAACGCTGCGGTTTCCCCCCTCCCCGTCCCTGCCCCCCGGGACCGGGGCCAGGGCTATTTATAGTGCTCGGGCAGGCTGGGAGTGGGGGCCTCGCACCCACCCAGCGTCCCCCCTGGCTGGGGGCCACGACCCCACTGCTCCCACCCTGTGGGAGTTAACCCCACTCGGGGGGGCTTCCCCTCCTGTGACACCCCACACACACACACACACACAAGCCTCGCTGGCCTCAGCTCCCCCTCCAGCATCACGTTCCTCGCCCTGCGCCCCGTGGGGACAGCACGTGGCCCTGGCCCCGGCCAGGCAGGGCGAGGGTGACGGGTGGCCCCTTGCAAAGGAGGGGGGAGCACAGCGAGGCGCTGCCGGGGGCTGGGATCATGCAGCCCTAGAGACAAGGGGACCCCCCCCCCCACCATCCCGTGCCCCCCTTGTGCGTGGGGGAGTACCTGTCACCCCAGGGAGGGGGCAGGACAGGGGACACTGCCAGGGTCCCAGCCCCCCTGGGTGGCAGCCACCCCCCTGCCTTGGCCTTGCATCCCCCCTCGGGGGTTTCCGCCAGCCCCACAACGGGGGCTTTGTGGGTGCTCCCCCCACCCCCACCCCCAACCAGCACAGCCCACAATGGCAGGTTTGTGCACAGCCCCGCTGAGATGAGGGGCCCCCTCACCCCTCGTGAGGGGCCACGGCAGCGGGGCGACCCCCAGCCATGCTGCAGGCAGCACCCACAGGACCCTGGCGTGGGACACCTCCCCCCCAACCCCCAGGCAGCCGAGGGGCCCCTCCCGCATCCAGAATTTTCCATATACACAAGCATCAAGTGCAAAAAAGCCCCAATTTTTGCAGAGAGGGACTCAGGGAGCCGCCAATGGGGTTGGAGGGGGGGGGATGTCCCACCCTGGGGCCTCCCTCAAAAGACCCCTTGGGCGCAGCCCCTCCCCGTGTGTGTGTGTGTGTGTGTGTCCCCTCTCAGCCCTACCTGCTTCCAGAGGAAGGGGTCGGCAGCGTTGCGGTGCCAGGCGATGGCAAGGTGCAGGGCGGAGAGGAGGACGCCGGCCAGCACGGCCGCCCGCATCCGCACCGGCAGCAGCGTGTAGGTGATGTAGATGAAGAAGACGCTCCACCAGACGCCTTCGGCCGCGCTTCGGGGTGCGACGGCCACCGTCCCCAGCGCCTGCACCCCGGCCAGCAGCCCCAACACCACGTAGCTCACCACCCACATATAGTCCTGGGGGAAGGCGCTGCGGCTGCACAGCACCATCAAGAGCAAGAAAAGGGCCGTGGCGCTCGCCAACACGGCGGCTGCCGGCACGTGCGGGGTGCCGGGCAGGCAGTGGAAGAGCAGCATCACCCCACAAACCAGCACCAACACCCCCATCAGCACCGTCAGGCTGCTCTGGTTCATCTGGAAGAAGTAACGCTGGTAAAGCCGTTCCAGTTTGGCCGACTGGAAACGTTTGGAGCGGAAAACCTGGAGCAGCCGCCGCCAGCACTCGCCGGCCGACGGCCGCCCCCCGCGACCCCCGGGTCCCTTCGGCCCCTTGGTTTCGCCATCCTCCAAGCCCAGGTCCACCGATTTGAGCCCCAGGTCGCCCGCGGGTCCCTTCTTGCCGTAGTGGTCCTCCTGCCAGGTACAGCGCAGCCCCCGGGGGGGCCCCCCACCCCGCTCCATCTCAGGGTCCTGCAGGCAGCTCATGTAGCGGGGGCCGCAGAGGGCGGCGCGGGGGCGGGGGCCTTTCTTGCCGTTGCGCTCCCCCCATGCCGTTTTCCGCTCGTCCACCTTGGGCACCAGGATGCCGCTGAACCACGACATGCTGGGGGGGCGGGACACACACCAGGAAGGGGGGGGGTGGGGGGGTGGTCAGCACTTGGGTCCCCCCACCCCAACACCCCCCCAAAGGGGGACCCTGGTGCCCATGAGGGTGCGGGGCAGCATTTCTCCCACCGACCAGGGACAGGGCCCTGATGTCCCACCCACCCCGGGGGGACGCAGGACCCCCACCCCCCCACACTCCCAGTTCTCCCACCAGCCCCGTGGCCCCTGCGGGAAAGGCTGGTGCTGGGTGCCCAGTGCCGGCGTCCCGGTGCTTGGCCCTACCAAGGCCTCCCCGGTGCAGTGACCTGCGGCAAAGCTGGAACCGGCCCCGGGGTGTCCCGGCCCTGTTTGTCTTGAACGGCAGCCAACGGGTTTGTACCGGGCACCGCGGCCCCGGGGCAACGGGAACCAACCGGGACGTGGCAGCCGGTCCCAGCCCCGAGCGAGCCGGCGGTGGGGAACGGCCACCGGGGAAGGGCCGGCCCCGGTGGCGGTGGCCGCCTCCCTGCCAGCCTGCCCCAGCCCCGGGGAGCCCCGGCCCGTTCGCCCCGCCGCCGCCAGCGCCCTCCCCGCCGCCGCCCCGGGGCACCGGGCAGCCTCCGGGGGCCGCGCCGCTCCCTCCCAGCCCGGTGTCGCCCCCCCGCTTCCTCCCCGCCGCTCCGGTCCCCGGTGTGTGTGTCCCCCCCCCCTCCGCCCGCCTCCCGCCCGCTCGGCCCCGCTCACCTCCGCCTCCGGCGCCGCCGCCCCGGTACGGTCCCGCCGCCGCCGCCCCGCTCCTACACGGCGGCCGCGCTGCACCCCCGCCGCCCCATCCCGCGCCCAGGCCGGGCCCCCGGTGGCGGTGGCGGCCCCGGTCCCGGTCCCGGTCCCGGCCGCAGCACCCGGCCCGCCCCGGCCGGTACCCGCCCCCCCCCCCCCCCTCCCCTCCCCTCCCGGATCCGCTCCCGGGCGCTCCCGGCCGGCGGCCTTAAAGGCGCAGCGGCGGCGGCCCGGTACGGCCCCGGTACGGCCCCGGTGCGGCGGGGGAGGCGCGGGCGGCGCGCGGGGGCGGCGGGAGCGCGCGCGGGCACGGGCGGCCCGGCACCCCCGGGGCTGCGCGCACACACACACACACACACGCGCGCACCGCCGCGCTGCACCGACATGGCGGGGACAACGGGGACACGGGCGGCCGGACCCCCCCTCCCCCCCCACGCACAACCCCCCCCCCCCCCCCCGAACACGCACACCCCACCCGCCCTTCGAGTGTGTCCCTTGCACACACACACACATACGCACACACTCCTTGCACACCCACCCTGCACACACACACCCACGCCCCCCTTGCACACGCGCGCACACACACGCGCACCCCCTTTTGCACACGCGCGCAGCCCTGTTGCACGCACGCACACACACACCCCTTTGCGCGTGGGTGCACGCGCGCGCCTGGACCCCCCCTGCTCACACCCCCACGCACCCTTGCACGCTCACATGCGCACGCACGCGTTGCACACATCCTTGCCCACATCCACGCCCGTTCGGCACGCGTGGGTACACACACACCTTTTGCACACACACCCCCCTTGCACGCACACACGTGTGCACACCCCCACTTGCACGTACCCCCCCCCCTTTTTGCACGCACACCCCCACCAGCACCCCCCGCCCGGATGGACACAGGGCACCCCTTCACTGAACTCCCCGTCTGCCCCTCCCCACGCCCGTACCCCACGAGTGTGCGTGGGTCAGGCCCTGGCGGCCCCCCCCGCAGCGGTGGCGCCGGGCCCCGCTCCCCCCCCCCCCGCAGCAGCTCTGGGCCGCGGAGAGCGCAGATTAATCATTAATTAGCAGCCGCCGCCGGGCCCGTGTCCCTGCGGCCCCACGCGGAAGTTCCGCCGCGCGGAGCGGGGGGAGGCACCTCGGGGGGACACCCCGGGGGGGTCCCCGCACACCCTCGCTGGGTGCCGGCACCCGCCGCCGCGGGGAAGGGCACTGAAGCGCTGCCTGCGCTCGCCCTGCGCCGGGCCGGATCCTGCCCGTGCTGGGGATCCCTGGGACTGGTCCTGGACCTGCTGGGTATCCCTGGGCCCGATCCTGCCAGTGCTGGGGATCCACTGGATGGATCCTGCCCATGCTGGGGATCCCTGGGACTGGTCCTGAACCAGCTGGAGATCCCTGGGACTGGTCCTGAACTTGCTGGGGATCCCTGGATGGAAATTGCCAGTAATGGGGATCCCTGGGATGGATCCTGCCCGTGCTGGGGATCCCTGGGACTGGTCCTGAACCTGCTGGAGATCCCTGGGACTGGTCCTGAACTTTCTGGAGATCCCTGGATGGAATCTGCCAGTAATGGGGATCCCTGGGATGGATCCTGCCTGTGCTGGGGATCCCTGGGACTGGTCCTGAACCTGCTGGGCATCCCTGGGCCCGATCCTGCCAGTGCTGGGGATCCACTGGATGGATCCTGCCTGTGTTGGGGATCCCTGGGACTGGTCCTGAACCTGCTGGGGATCCCTGGGATGGATCCTGCCTGTGCTGGGGATCCCTGGGACTGGTCCTGAACCTGCTGGGGATCCCTGGGCCCGATCCTGCCCGTGCTGGCAGTCCCTGGGATGGGTCCTGGCTCTGCTGGGGCTCCCCGGGCCCGATCCTGCACTCCCCGCCGCCCACCCCCGGGGCCGCCGCAGCCCCCGCCCATCGCTCCGGCCGGTCGGAGCGCGGATGCTGCAGCACCGCGGCGCCGGGCCGGATCCGGCCGCCCCCGTGGGCTCGTCGGGGACACGGGGCGTAGGGCGGGTGGGCGATGCGGCCCTCACAGCCCCCCCGCGGCTCGGCCTGCCCCACGCGGGGATATATGTTGGCTGTTACCCACCGAGGGGCGGGGGGGGGGGGCACGGCGGCCTCGGGACCCGTGCCCGTGAGATGCGGGCGGCGAGGCTCGGGGCTCCTGCAGCACCGCACACGCGTGGGCGCGGCGGCGGCAGCCCCAGGGCTCCTCTTTCCCGGTGCCGCCCGGACGGTCCCCGCAGCACCGCGGGTTGCGGGGAGGGTCTATCCCCGGTGCCCCCCGGGGGCTGCCCAGCTGCGGGGGCGCGGGCCGGACGCCACGGGGATGGGCGCGGGGGCGGGCAGGCGGGGGCGGGGACGGCCGGGACGCCCCGGCGGCCCCGTGTGATGCGGAGCGCGGCAGTGGCGGCGGCGGCGGCGCGGCCCTTCCCGGCGGAGAGCCGCGGTCCGGTGCGGGGCGGCCCCGCCGGGATCCCGGGGGGTTCCGGTAGGTGCCGCCGGGCATGTCCGCCCCGGCGCAGCCCGCCGCTCCCGGCTCCTTCCAGGTGAGCGGAACGGCCGCCCCCCCCCCCCCCAGCCACCGCGGGCCCGGTGCGGCCCGGTTCTGTTCTGCCCGCAGTTCGGGGAGGGCCGCCGGTGGCAGCGCAGCGGCGGGGCCGAGTCGGCCGGTGCCTCCCGGTGCTCACCGGCCGCCCCCGCCGCTCCCGCCCGCAGAGCCCCCGGAGGCTCCCGAAGCGCAAGAGCCGCTTCAAGCGCTCGGACGGCAGCACCTCGTCCGACACCACCTCCAGCATCCTCCGCAGGCAGGTGAGCGGGCCGGTACCGGCACCGGCACCGGCACCGGGGCGGGGCAGCCCCGTTCAGATCCGGCCCCCCCTCTCCCCCGCGCCGCGGTTCGCTCCCGGGGGCGGCGGAGCTGCGGCTCCGCATTAAGGCACCGACCGGGAGGCAGAGACCGAGCTCTCCCGGCCCAACCCCCCGCACCGGGGAAAACCGGGAGGCCACCCCCGCCCCGCCGCTCCCCCGGGACCGGGGCTGGGCGCCGGCACCGGTGGCATCGCAACAGCCGCTCCCCGCGGCTAAAAATAGCGAGTGCTGCGTCAGGGCCGGGCCGGCCGCCGGGCACCGGCACTGCGGCGCGGGGGGGGCGGGGTGGTGGTGGACGGCCTCGGGGAAACTGAGGCAGCGGGAGGGGAACGGGGCGGGGGGGGGGGGGGAGGGGATCCGCTGTGCCGCCCCGCCCGATCCATCAACCGGCACCGGGCCGCCTCCCCGCGCTGCCCGGGAGTGGCACGGAACCCCCCCCACCCCCGCCTGCTCCGGTTCACCCCGGCCCGAGCGGCGCCCCCCGCCCCGGCCGTCGACGGGGGACCGGGTCCCGGGCCGGCCCCGGGGAGGGCGGGGGGTCCCGGTAAGGGCGGCCCCGGGTGCCGCGGAGAGGCCCGAGCATCCCGTTTCCCTCCCAGGGTAGCACCTGCCCCCCCGGGATCCCCCGGGACCCCCCGCCGCGGCCTCGTACCCGGCGCTGCCCCTTCAGCACCTCGGAGAGGGCCCGGCCCGGCCCTGCCGCGCTGCCCGGTACCGGGGCCGGTGCCCGGTGCTCGGGGGCCGGTGCCCGGTGCTCGGTGCCCGGTACCGCTGTTCGCGGCCGGTCCCGCCTCTGCCTGGACCCCCCCGACCCGCCGAGCGCTGCCCCGCTGCCCTCGGGCCGGTCCCACCGGTGCCCGTCCCGCTGAGCGGTAACGGGGCGGGCCGGGCCGGTCCCCCGGGGCCCGTCGCTGCCCCCCTCCTCGGGGGCGGGGGGGGCGCGGCGGGGGGGCGGGAGCGGCTCCGGCCCCGCCGCAGGGCTCGCCCTGCAGACGGGGCTGCTACCGACTCGGGGCAGGACGGGGGCCGCCACACCGGAGCATGGAGGTACCCACGGGGACCCCCCCGCCGCCACCCCGGGACCCCCGGCCGCGGGTTGAGGGGGACAGCACAGCCCCCTCCGCCGCCTCCGCGGGACCGCCCCCCCCGCCCAGCGCCGGGAGCTGCTTTCTTTGCAAACTAACCCCCCCCACACGTACTCCCCCGGGAGCTGCCCCGGGGCCCCGTCCCGGTGCCGCACACCGGGGCCGCTCGGGACCCCCGGCTGCCAGTGCATCCCCCCCCGGGGATCCCACCGGAGAGGGGCCGGAGCCCCCCGGCCAACCCCAGGAAGGGGGAACCGCGACCCCCAACTCCCCCCCCCCCTCCTTCCCCAGGCTGAGCCGGCGGGGGCGGCTCCGTGAGCCCCGGGGGGGCGGTGGGAGGCGGGGGCGGGGAGGGGCGGGGAGGGGCGGTGGCGGCGCGGCGGAGCGGGCAGGGCCAGCCGGAGCCCGAGCCGCAGCCGGAACCGGAGCCGGTGCCGGAACCGGGCGGGGGGGGGGCGCGGGCGGCTCGGCTCGCCCCGTCTATGTCGTTTTCTGACTCCAGCGCTACCTTCCTGCTCAACGAGGTACCGGCCCCGGTACCGGGGGCGGGGAGGGAAGGGGGGGGGGGGGGGCATGCCCGGGGGGCTACGGTCTGGGGTTGAGGTGAGCTGCGCCACGGGGGGCGCGGTGATTGCGCCCCGGGGCTGTGCCCGGTGAGGGGGGGGGGGTTGGCTGTGCCCAGTGCGGGGGTTCGTGCCCGGTGCGGGGGGGCTGTGCGCCCCCCCCGGCCCTTTGTTCATCGCCGCCGCCGCTGGTCTCGCCCCCCCACCCCAGCGGGTGCCGCCAGGACCGGGATGAGGTGGGGGGCGACACCCCAACGGCCGGGGACCCCGCGGGGGCCGAGGCTGTGGGCCGGGGGCTTCATGGGGGGGGTCGTGTTGGGCAGTGGGGCGCTGGAGATGCTGTACTGGGGGGCTGTGCTGGGGATGCTGGGGGGGAAGATGCTCGAGGGGGGGGTGGTGACGATGCTGGGGGGACCGTGCTGGGGAGGCCATGTTGGGGGGGGCCATGCTGGGAAACCATATTGCCTGCGTTGGGGTGGGGGGGCTCAGGCCTCCCCCCGATGTGAGCAAGGTGGGATATGTGGGGGGTGGGGGGGCCGGTGCTGGGCAGAGGTGCTGAGCTCTGCTCGGCAGGACCTGGGGGCCTTGGGGAGGGGGGGGGGGGGCTGTGGGGGTGCTCAGCCACATCCAGGGACCTATAAATATTTCACCGCAGCTTCTGCGCCTGTTCCGGGCGCAGCAGGCGGCTGGTAATTACTGGCGGGGTGGGGGGAGCTGGCGGGGGGCTGCGCCAAGCACCCGGTGGTCACCCTGGGGTGGAGGGTGGCTGCAGCAGGGCCTCATCCCCGGAGGGACGGGGACCCCTGCTCTGGGGCTGCAGGGGGTCTCCCCCCGTGGATCCCCCCAGGCCGCAGGGGCTGCACCCCAGGGCAGCCATGCTGGGTGATGCTGCTTGTGTTCGCCTGGCTTGATGCTACCATAGCCCGCCCCCCTCCAAAAGCCAGAAGGGGCTGTGGGTCACCAGGGTCCCCTCAGGGTGAGGTCCCTCTTTACGGGGGGGGGTGTCCCTGCAGCCCCCTGGCACTCAGCCCTGTCCCCCCAGGGCTCGGCGGACTCCTACACCAGCCGCCCGTCCCTGGACTCCGACGTGTCCCTGGACGAGGACCGTGAGGGTGCCCGGCGCGAGGTGGAGAGCCAGGCCCAGCAGCAGCTCGAGAGGGCCAAGGTACCGGGGGAGGGTGACAAACACCCAATGCACAGCTCCGGGGTGGGGGGGGCGCTGGCAGGGCCCAGGGGTGCTGATTCCCGCCCCCCTCCCCAGCACAAGCCGGTCGCCTTCGCCGTGCGCACCAATGTCAGCTACTGCGGGGCGCTGGATGAGGAGTGCCCGGTCCAGGGAGCCGCCATCAACTTTGAAGCCAAAGATTTCCTGCACATCAAAGAGGTGAGTTGGGGTGCTGGAGGACGGGGGGGGGGGGGGGCGGTCAGGGTTCCCCCCCCTCGGCCTCACCCCTGCCCTGGCCTCACCCAGAAATATAGCAATGACTGGTGGATTGGGCGCCTAGTGAAGGAGGGGGGGGACATCGCCTTCATCCCCAGCCCCCAGCGCCTGGAAGCCATGAGGCTGAAGCAGGAGCAGAAAGCCAGGTAGGGACCGGACACCCCCCCAACCCCCCCGGGCCCCCCAACACTCACTCACCCCCTCTTCTTCCCCAGGAGAGCTGGCAATGCCTCGGGCCTCGGCGACAGCGGGAACCGGCGATCGCCTCCCCCCTCCTTAGGTAAGGGCAGGTCCTGGCCCAGGGAGATCCAGGGATGGGTCCTGGGGGGGTCCTCCCTTTGCTGTCACCAATGTCTGTCTCCTCTCCTCTCCCCAAGCCAAGCAGAAGCAGAAGCAGGTGAGTCCTGGGGACAGGGCTGTGCCTTGGGCAGGGGGAGATGGGGAGGGGGCTGCAGGCACGGCTGGGTGCAGCTGCTTCTGGGGTGGAGCAGGTGGGGGCAAAGGGGGGGTCTCTGCCCCCACTTATGGGACTGGGGGTCTCCAGGATCCTGGGGGTCTCTGGAATAGGCTCGCTGATACCTTCCTCCCTGGGGGTGGGAGCGCAGGGCGCTGACGTGTCCCCATGTGTGTGTCCCTGTCCTGTCCCCCCCCCCGCAGACACAGCACATCCCACCCTACGATGTGGTCCCCTCCATGCGGCCCGTGGTGCTGGTGGGGCCCTCGCTGAAAGGATACGAGGTACCGGGGTGGGGGGGGGCTGCGGGGTGGAGGGGCGAGTGGGGGGGCCCTGCTGTGCCCCCCCAGGGCGGTGGCCTGTGCCCCTTGTCCCCTCCCGTGCCGGTGCCGGGCAGATGGCAGGGCCGAGGGCTGCTGGCAGGGTGCCGGGTGGCTGCCACCTCCCTGCCGGTGCCATCTGCCGCCGGCTCACCGTGGGCTCCACGGGCTGGCGGCCCCGCCGGCAGGTCACCGACATGATGCAGAAAGCCCTCTTCGACTTCCTCAAGCACAGATTTGATGGCAGGTGAGACACCCCCCCCCCCCCACGACCCTCCCCCTGGGGGTGGTGGTGGGGTACCCAGCTCCCCACAGCCCCCGGGGAGGGCGGGGGTACCCAAGTCCCCACTGCTGTCCCTCTGCCCCTCCCCAGGATCTCCATCACCCACATCACAGCTGACCTCTCCCTGGCCAAGCGCTCCATCCTCAACAACCTGGGCAAGCAGGCCATCCTGGAGCGTTCCACCGCCCGCTCCAGCATCGGTGAGGGGCTGGGCTCTCCCAGGGGTGCAGGGATCGCACACCCCCCACCCCCCCAAGGGGCCAGCCCCACTTCATATGCCCCCCCACCCCCTCCCTGTGTCCCTCCCCCAAAGCCGAAGTGCAGAGCGAGATCGAGCGCATCTTCGAGCTGGCCAAGTCCCTGCAGCTGGTGGTGCTGGATGCCGACACCATCAACCACCCGGCCCAACTGGCCAAGACCTCTCTGGCACCCATCATCGTCTACGTCAAGGTGTCCTCGCCCAAGGTGAGGGGTGACCGTTAGTTCGGGGGGGGTGGGGTGGGGTGTGTGCTCTGGCTGCCCCCCGCAGTGCTACCACCCTCCTCTCCCCTCCCCAGGTCCTGCAGCGGCTCATCAAGTCCCGGGGCAAGTCCCAGGTGAAGCACCTCAACGTGCAGATGATGGCAGCCGACAAGCTGGTGCAGTGTCCCCCGGTGAGCTGGCAGATCCTGCCCCCCGCCCCCCCCCAACCCTAGGGATACCCAGGAGGCTGGGTGGGGGTCCCACCAAACCACTCCTGACCCCTGTCGCCTGCCCCCCAGGAGCTTTTCGACGTGATCCTGGATGAGAACCAGCTGGAGGACGCCTGCGAGCACTTGGCTGAATACCTGGAGGTGTACTGGCGTGCCACGCACCACCCGCCGCATGCCCCCCACGCTGTGCCCTCGCCCACCGGCCTCCCTGGCCTGCAGGTACCCCCCAACCCCCTGTTCCCTGCTCCCCAGGGGCAGCCGGCACAGGGGTACAGGGGCCAAAAGTGTGGGACACACACACGCAGCCCCCCCTGCGCCGTCCCTGCAGCCGCGTCCCTGCCCACAGAGCCAGCAGCTGCTGGGGGAGCGGGGGGAGCACTCGCCGCTGGAGCACGACAGCCTGATGCCGTCGGACGAGGCGGGGGAGACCTCACCCCAACCTTGGGGGGCCGCGTCCCAGCGCAGCTCCCGGCACTTGGAGGAGGAAGAGGAGTACGCGGACCCCTACCCCGACCTCTACCAACCCCACCGGCACCACAACAGCGGGCTGCAGGGCCCTGGCGCGCCGGATCGCCAAACCGAGCGGAACCACGACAGGAACTGGCAGCGCAGCCGGCCCTGGGCCAAGGACAGCTATTAGGGGCAGGGAGATGGGGGGCAGGGGGTGGAGTGGGGGGATAGCACGGCTGGGAACCGGCCCCCCCACACCCCCCCTGCCTCAAAACTCCGGGCGCTCCCCCGCCTCGCCCCAGCCCCGCGCTGGGGGTGCTCAGACAATCTCCCTCTCTCGGGGGGAAAATCCTCCGCACCGGCAGCTTCCTCGCGCCCGGCCCCCGGGCACGTCTTCAGCCATAAGCACAGGGAGGGGGGGGGGGCTGGCACATCCAGGATGCCCTGGGACACCCCCCCACTCCCCCCCCCCCCCCCGGCTCTCGGGGACCTGGGGACAGCCACATGCCTTCTCCCTGCCTCAGTTTCCCCGCCTGGCCCCCCGCGTCGCCGGCTGTCTCATTCCCCGCACGGCAGCTGCCATAATCAGAGGGTGCCTTCCCCCTTGAAAGACCTGGGGGCCAGGTAATGGGGGGGGGGGGGGGAGACGACGATGGTTTTAGCAGTGTCCCCCGTCCCGAGGAAGAGGGGAAGGTGCCTGTTCCACCACTCCCCCCCCCCGCCCCTGCATGGAACCCCTGGGAGGAGGGGGCCGCACCAGTCGCTTTGCTCTGCACCGATCTCTCCCCGTCACCGCAGCCAAACCACTTCCCTCCACCCCCCCAACCCTGGGGATGGGGGACAGATGGGGGTGGCCAGACCCCAGACTAGAGATGGGGGGGGCTGGGGGGCTGCTCCATGCCTGCACTCGCTGCTCCATCCCCCCCACCACCACTTCCCCGCGTAGCCGTCACCGCACAGTCCTGTAAATACGGCGCCCACCGCCCTCAGCCGGGGAATGCCCAGTGGAGGGGCCCAGCCCTGGGCTGACCCCCCCCCCCCCAAACTCCCCCCCGGGGCCTTTCGCAGGGAGCCGGCCTGAGCCGGTGGGTTGGGGACGGGTGGGGGCTACAGATTTGTTATAATTTCTTTTGTAGAAAGCACTGATTTCCCTGTAACTGGTTTCAGAAACACAAGAGTGCTCGGAGGTGCTGGTGTCTGTTGTCTCTGGGATGGGGGGGGGGACACAGAGGGGACACGACGGCACGGGGAAAGGACCCCGTGCCGGTGGGTGCTGAGCACCCAAACGCTCTCCCAGCCCCTCGGGGAGTTGTGGAAAATGGCACCCAGGGCCTGGCAGCGCCGCAGAAAGGGAGAGGATGAGGACCCGACGTCCGGCAACGCAGCTGCAGGTTTATTCCTGCAGCCTGGAGTTTCAGCTAAAAAAGGGACAAAGTGAACGCGGCTCCTGGGACAGCCCTGCCCGAAAATCCCCCGGCGAAGGCCAGGGCCAGCCCTGCGGGGGGGCAGGCAGGAATCTGCCCCCACCCAGCCACCCGCAGCTCCACCGGTCCCGAGGGAAGGCGAGGAGGGGGACTGGGAGAACAGGGGGGACGTTTTGGGACAGTCTCGGCCCCAGTCTCTGCCGGCAGCAGTCCTGGCTGCACAGGGGGCTGGGGGCCTGGGAAAAGAACAGCCACAAAAGTCCTGACAGCCCCCAGCCCCACTGGTCCCGCTGTCCCCAAAGGGGTGACCGAGGAGGGGACACCGGCCCCGGGGCCTCAGGCGAAGATGGTTTCCTCCCGCCGCTTCTTGGTGAGGATGGTGCCAGGCTTGTGCTGGGCGTCGGGGTGGTTGGCCAGCTCGGGGGGGCAGGAGGACACGGGGCTCTCCAAAATAGCCTGCTTCAGGTCGTAGAAGACGGTGGAGTCCTCCTTGGTGAGGAAGGTGATGGCGACGCCGCTCTTCCCGGCTCGGCCCGTCCGCCCGATGCGGTGGATGTAATCTGCAGGGACGCGGAGCGGTCAGGCAGGGCCTGGGCAGCCCCCCCGCAGCCCCCCAGCCCGGCCCCCACTCACCCTCGATGTTCTTGGCCATGTCGTAGTTGACGACCATGGAGACGTCGTGGATGTCGATCCCACGGCCGGCCACGTCCGTGGCCACCAGGATGTCCTTGGCCCCGGCCTTCAGGTTGGAGAGGGCGAACTCCCGCTGCTCCTGGCCTTTGCCGCCGTGCAGGGTGCAGGCGTTGTACTGCAGGATGAGAAGGGGGGGGTTAGCGGGTGGGGGGGGGGGGGCAGCAGCACCCAGAGCCACAGCGTGGGGTCCCCACGCACAGGGAATGGGGGTGCAGGGTCTCAGGACCACCCCCCATCCACCCCAGCCAAAGCTGAGGGGCTCCAGGCCGGACTCACCCCCATCTTCTCCAAGGATTTTGCCAGCACGTCGCAGCCCTTCTTCTGGTTGACGAAGATGATGATGGGTGGGTCGAAGCCCTGCTCCAAGATGGCTAACAGCTTCTTCCTGTTGGGGAGGAGAACAGTTGGGCTGAGGTGCCCCTCCGTTCTACCCAGAGTCCCTCTCCCAGAGCAATCACACCCCCAAATGCCCCCTAGACACCCCCCACAAGACTCAGCCTCCCTGCTCCACCCCGCCCCAGCGACCCCCTCCCCACCTCTTCTCCGACTCCGACATGAGGAAGACCTTCTGCTCCACCCGCTCGTGGGGTTTGCCGGCGGAGCCGATGTAGACCACGGCCGGACGACGGAGGTAGCTGCGAGCCAGCCGCTCCACCGCTGGCGGCATGGTGGCCGTGAACATGACGGTCTGCGAGAAAACAGGGCAGTGAACAACATCCCCCGTGGGGCAGGAACGCGGCTGCCACTCCCTCGGGTTTTTCAAAGCCCCAGGTTGTCCCCTCTCCGCCCCACGGAGCGTGATCAGCCTCACGGGAGCACCCACAACACCACCCCGGGGCCTCCTCCTGCCTGCACCCACCTGTCTGTACTTGTGCTTCCCCGACTCAAAGTTGGCCAACATCTTCTCGGGGTCTTCGGCCTCGTCGGTGTCGGGTTTTTGGTTGGTGACAGGCATGTGCTCCAGAATTTTCTGCACGTCGGGCTCGAAGCCCATGTCGATCATGCGATCCGCCTCGTCCAGCACCACGTAGGTGCAGCGGCTCAACACCAGGTACCGGTTTTCCAGCACGTCGATGAGACGGCCCGGAGTGGCGATGACGATCTGGAGGTGGGGGCGCAGCAGGAGGGTCGGTGTCCACAGCCTGGTTGCTAAACTGCTCCCCCCCCACACCCCCCCCAGGGGCCAGCACCCACCTCGCAGCCCATGCGAAGGCGGAAGCCTTGGTCCTCGCGGGAAATGCCTCCGATCACGGCCACCGTGCGGATGCCCAGAGGTTTCCCAAACTTGATGGTTTCCTCCTCAATCTGCTGGGCCAACTCTCGGGTAGGGGCCAGGATGATGGCGTAGGGACCTTGGTCTGACTCCTCAATCCTGCGGCATGGCAGGGCACGGCCGTGTCACCCACGGTGCCACACACCCCTCCCCTCCCCTCGTGTCACCCTGCCCCGCCCCACGTACCGATCGATCTTGGGCAGGGTGGTGATCCACACCAGCAGCGGGATGAGGAAAGCCGCGGTTTTGCCGCTGCCGGTCTCGGCCACGCCGATGATGTCGCGGTTTTGCAGGCCGATGGGGATGGCCTGGCGCTGGATGGGGGTGGGCTCCTGGCGAGGGGAGCAGCAGGTTTGGGAGCAGAACTTCCCCTCCTCCCCAAAGACCTGACCCCCCAAAACCAGCCCTTTTCCCCCGCACCCAGCTCCCGGGAGGGCCGGCGGGGTCTGCGGGCAGCAGCCCCCCGTCCCTGTGCCCACCTTGTAGCCACACTTGTCGATGACCTCCAGGATGTGGGGGGGCAGGGAGGAGTCCTTCCAGGAGCGGATGGGGTTGGGGATCTTTCCTCCCTTGGTGGTGATGCTGTAGTCCTCGCGGAAGATGCGCCAGTCCCTGTCTGTCATCTCGTCCAGCTTCTTCTGGGACCAGTGCCGGTCATCCCAGCGCTGCTTGGCCTCCTTCTTCCGCAGCTTCCTCAGCCGGGCCCTGGGTGGGGGCGAGGAAGGGGACAGGGCTCCACCCTGTGCCTCTGGGGAGGCTGGAATCATCCCCCCCACCCCTCCAAAGGACACGCCACAGCCCAGAGCCACCCCCCCCTCCCCCCCAAGCAGAAACAACCAGCACCCCAAACACCCCTCAGCACCCTCCCAGCTCCCCACAAGGGCGCTCACTCCTCCTGCTCCTTCTCCTCCAGCGTCCGCCTCTTCTCCATCAGGTCCCCGTAGAAGCGCGACTGTTCCCGTTTCTGCTGCTTCAGGTCGATCCCCGCGATGAAGCCCCGGCCCAGCAGCTGCACTTGGTGCCGCTCCTTGTACCTAGAGCGGGACGGGAGCATCAGGGGCAAGGTTGGGGGCTGTCCTGTACCCCAAGGGGCACCCCCAGCCCCAGGGGCACCCCCGGGAGCACCCCAGCACTCACAAGGGGTTGTAGTCGATGGAGGTGTCCTCCGACGCGTCCCACTCGAAGACGAACTTGCGGTCGTTCAGGTGCCGCGTGCGTCTCCGCTTCTTCACTCCTCCCAGGTAACGCTCCTGCGGGCGGGAGAGGATCAGTGGGGAGGGAACCCGGGCCCCCCCAGCACCCCCGACATCGCCCCAGCCTGGCCCCCAGCACTTACCTTGATGGCGTGGAGTTCTTTGCTCTTGTCTTTCTCCTCCCGGATCTTCTGCCTGCCCTCCTCATCCTCCGTGCCGTTGGTCTCCCGCTCCATGCGCTCGCGGCGCTCCCTGCGCTCACGCTCCTGGGGGTCTTCTGGGGAGCAGGGGAAGGGTCTCAGAGCCAAGCATTACCCCCCCTCCTCGCCCCCAAGGGTTGGGGGGCTCCAGGGGGTCCCACCCCAGCCCCTCGCAGCCAGGCAGACTGTGGTGGGGACTCCACCTTACCCAGCATCTTCCTCCCCATCTCCTGGAATTGTTTCCTCTTCTTCCTCTCCTCCTCCAGCAGCCGCTGACGCTCCTCCACCTCCTGCTGCCGCCGCCGCAAGGCCTCGGCCTCCCGCTCCGCTTTGGACAGGAACTTGGGCTGGGAGAGGAGAGGGGAAGGCTCACACCGAGCCTGGCAGCGACCCTCTTGCTTCAGGGGCTGCCCTAGGACAGGACGACCCCCCCACCTCAAACACCTGCCGCGCCAAGCACGGTACAGGAGAGCCCCGACGCAGGGAGGAGGCTCCCGCTCCTACCTTGGCTTCTGCCTCCTCTTCAGCCTTCTTCTTCGCCAGCAGCTCCTCCAAGGACAGCGGCTGGGCCTGCGAACGCGGGGCCGGACCATCAGCAGCCCCCCAACGGGGTCCCTTTGCCTCACCAGAGTGACACACCCTCCCCGAGCCGTTCCCAGCCAAGCCCCCTCCTCACCTTCTCCTTCTTCAGGGCGTTTTCCTCTTCCTCCTCTGTTTTCCGCGAGTCCCGCTCCTTCCGGGACTTTGAGTCCTTGCCCCTGCTCGGGGACAAGCTTCCCAGCAAAACAAAGAGGAATCAGGCATCGAACGCAGCCCTAGGTCACCCCACTGACCAGGGGAACAACGCCACAAGCAACAGCCCAGGAGGTGCTTACAGGAGAGCAGAGACACCCCAAAAGCAGAGGGGACTCACCTTGATCGCTTCCTGTCCTTGTCCCGCCGGTGCCCATCCTTCTCCCGGTCCCGGTCCTTCTTGTTCCGGTCCCGGTCGCGCTCTTTGTGCCGGCGATCCCTGCGGAGCGGGGCAGTCACAGCAGGTCCGCAGCCCAACCCCCCACCCCTCCGTGGGGCCGTTACAAACACACGAGGTCAGGAGACATCTTCCCTAAAAACCTGGGGAGCCCCCTGTGACACCCCTCACCTCTCTGTCGACTTGGACCGGGAGCGGGACCGCGACCGGCTGCCTCGTCTCCTGTCCCGGGACCGGTGCCGCTTCCTGTCCTTGGAGGGGGAGCCCTTGCGGTCCCGGTCCCTGTCCCGGTCCCGATCCCGGTCCCTGTCTGGGGAGCGGGAGCGCTTCCGCTCCTCCTTGACGGGGGACACGTCCCGGTCCTTCTTGTCTGCCAGTTCTCCGGCCATCTGTGGGGAGACAGGTTCAGACTGAGTGAGAGACACGGAGGGGGGGGGACCCCGGGAGAGGTGCAGGGGACCCGAGGAGGGAGCAGGAAGGGCTGGGAGACCAGGAGGAGCGCTTAGGGGGACCTGGGGAGGGAGTAGAAAAGGCTGAGGGACCCTCTGAGAGGTGCAGGGGAGCCGGGGAAGACATGGGGGACCCCAAAAGGGAGCGGAAAGGGCTGAGGGACCCCGGGAAGGGTGCAGGGGACACGGGATAGATACAGAAAGGGCTGGAAGGCTGGGAAGGGAGCGAGAAGGGCTGGGGTACCCCAGGAGGGGTGCAGGGGACCCGGGGAGGGGTGAGGGACACAGGGGAGGGAAGAGAAAGGGCTGGATGTCCGGGAGGGGCGCGTAGGGGGACCCGAGGAGGGAGCAGAAAAGGCTGAGGGACCCCGGGAGGAGTGCAGGGGACCCGAGGAGGGAGCGGGAAGGGCTGAGGGACCCGGGGAAGCTGCGTAGAGCTGGGGATCCAGGCCCTACCCAGGGCGCCCGGTGCCGGGGTCCAGCCCGGTGCTGGGGTCCCCCGGCCCAACCCTGCGGCGGGAGCCCAGCGACCCGCGGGCGCCCGGTGCCCCCCGGCCCCCCCCCCTCACCACCGCCGGCCGCAGGCCCAGGCCTCAGCGCCGCCCCGCCGCCATGTCCGCCCGGCACCGCGGGGCACGCCGGGAAGGCGAGGCCGGCCCACCCCCCCGCGCGCGGCGGGACTACAAATCCCGGCAGCCTCCGCGCCTGTAGCGACCGCAGCACCGCTGCGTCCCGCGGCTCCCTCCGCTGCACAGCGACCCTGACCTCGTGCACAGCCAAACCCCCGCGATGACACCCCCACCCCCAATATCAAGTGCAAGTTGGGGACTCCCGAAGAGGCCCCGGGGGGGGAGGGGGGAGGGGGCTTTTGGGGTGCCCAGGGCTCCCCCGATGAAAGGTGGCACCCAACAGCGCCAGGACTGCCACCCCCCACCCCCGGGGACTTCGCCCCTTTGCATCAGCACCCATGGGTGACAGTACAGGCAGACGTCAGCAGCACTGTTACCCCTCCCTCCTGGAACGGGGGGGGATGACCCCACCTCGGAGTGAACCCCAACCCCCCCTCCCCCCCCCCCCCCCCCCCCCCCAAGAGAGGACTAGACACCCGCTGCACGTGGGTGGGTGTTATATTTCTGATAATAAATAAGCTTTTTAATAACACTGACCATGGAACAGAGACATCCCCCTCCCTCCCACCCAGTCCATAAAACAGCTCCCCAGCACCCCCCACCCTGCCGGGGTCCCCAGGGCCAAGCAGCAGATGAGGGATAGGGCGGGAAGGGAGAAAAGGATGAGTCCATGGATGAGTCCCCCCTCCCAGGTTGGGGAACAGCTGTTGAACACCCTTCCCTGGGCCCCCCCAGACCCCCACCCATGGCAGCTCCATGGAGGCTCCCCCCCCCCAGAACAGAGGCTGGCAGGGGGACATGGTGTGATGGGAGGGCAGCAGGCACCCCCTCTTCCTTGGGGGAGGGGGCCTCTGGGGCCCTGTCCAGCCCCCCACCCCATCCCAGGGACTCAGGGGGAATGGGGGCTTTGGGGAGGGGGTGAAGGGGGGTGGGGGGACATTGGTGTGTGTGTCCCCCTTCACATGACAGAGCAGCTTTTTGCTTTTTCCTTTTTGAAGGTGGAAGAGATGAGCTCGGAGCGGCTGGGCAGGTGCAGGAGTCTCTTGGAGAGGCTGCGGGGGGGGCTCTTGGGGGGCTGCGGGGGGGCTTTGCTGAGGCAGATGCCGGACACGGTCCGGAAGATGCTGTGGACGCTCTTTTCCGAGGTGAAGGCCGAGCACTCCAGGTAGCTCTCAGCTCCCAGCTGCCTGGCCGCCGCACAGCCCTGCAACCCAAACCCACATGAGGCCGGCACAGCACCCCAAAACCCACCCCCCCAACACCTCCACAGGACGACCCCCCCGCCCTCCCAACCTGCTCATAGGAGATGGGTGCCTGCTTCTGGTGGGAGAGCTCCATCAGGGTGCTCAGGTCTGTCCGTAGGTCCGTCTTGCAGCCGATGAGCAGCACCCGCGTGTTGGGGCAATAGTCCAGGATTTCTGTCTTCCACTGTGGGGTGAGGGGGGCACAGAGACACCATCAGAGCACGGGAACCCCACAAACTGCTCCCCCCTGCCTCCAGAGGGGTTTCCTCCCCTCCTCCTCACCTTCTTGGACGCGCTGTCCAGGGTTTCGGGGCGGCTGATGTCGAAGCAGAGCAGCACAGCATCCGAGTCACTGTAGCAGAGGGGACGCACGTTGTCATAGTAGGGAGAGCCTGGAAGAAAAGGGGGTGTCATGGCACAGCAGCACCCTCCCCCCCCGTCAGGGAACCCAGGCCCCGCTCAAGCAGGAGGTGCTTTTAGAGGGACACAACCCCCCTTCTGCCTGGGGTGGGAGGAACACAGCTCTAGAGCACCCCCAAATGCCACCTCCGCTCCCTGCAACCCATTAACATCGCCATCATCCTTAACGAGGCAGCGGGAAATGGATCCCGCGGTGTTTATATAACAAGCCGCGCCCCCCCCCCCCCCCCATGTTGGGGAGCCCTGCCAGCACACAGGGGTGTCAGTGGGCAGCCAGGATGGGGGGGGCTGCCACCCCCACAGTGTCCGTCAGGAGCCAGGGCCACCAGCACCACATTGGGGATCACGGGGGGAGGTGGTGTGTGGGGATGCAGGGGAAGTGGGGTGCCCCTCCAGGTGTGGGGGTGGTTGGGGTGCCCCCCCATCGCCACCCCCCGACCCCGAAGGGCCTCGGAGGGGTTTTGCAGCCCAGACGCTCCGTGCACGGAATAGCAAAGAGGCTGCGCCAGCGCATCGCCATAGCAACGCGGGGACCGCGGGTGGCGGGGACCCCCCCCTCTGACGGGGGGGACACACTGCAGCACCAGGGCAGGGCTACCCCAGCCTCTCTACCCTGCCCCCCCAGTCATTTTTGAGGGGCAGGGTGTGGGAAATACTATGATGCTCCATCCCACCCCTCCTATTTGTAGGCAGCCCTGCAGGGAGGGTGCAGGGGCCCCAGCACCCCCCTACCCTGCCTGGGGGGGGGGGTCTTAGCGGTGCGGGGCACCCCCTCACAAAAGGTCTCAGCCCTCTGTGTGTGTTCGTTTCCCCTACCCGCCCCCCCACCATGGGGCCAGTCCCCAGGGACTCCCTGGCAGCCAAGGCCCCCCCTTGTGCCCACCAGACCCAGCGATTTGTCCCCCCACCCTAAACCAGCCCCTCCACACACACCGAGGTGTTCCCACTGCGACCACCGAGTCACACCCCACTGCAGGGACCCCAACGCACCCCACTACAGGGTTCCCTCTACTGCAGCCCCCCCAGGGGTCCCCCAAACCCCAGGCCTGCCACACACACACACCCCCCCACCCCCGCAGTCCTCCGAGACCCCAAACCACCTTCCCCCAGTAAATACCCCCCCTCACCCCCCACCAGGGCCAGGCTGCCCCCGCCCCGCTGCACCTCCCGGTACCGGAGGTACCTCCCCCACCCCCGTGCATGCACCTTCCCCTGCCCCCGGTACCGGAGGTGTCCCAGAGGCTCAGCTCCACCCGCTGCTCCTCGCTGGCCAGACACGCCGTGTAGTTCTCAAACACGGTGGGCACGTACGTCTGCAACGGTACCGAGAGCGTCAGTGCCCGGTCCGCGCTGCCGGTTCCTCCTTTCCCCGGTGCTCGGTCCCGGCTTACCTCGGGGTAGCAGTCCTTGGCCAGCACTTGCAGCATGGCCGTCTTGCCGCACTGCACGTCGCCCACCAACACCAGCTTGCAGCGGGCCGGGGCGGCCGGTACCGGCCTCCGCTCCCGCATGGCGGCGGCGGCGCAGAGCGCGGCCCCCACGGCCGCCCGCCCGCCCGCCAGCCCTGCGCCCTGCCGCCGCAGCGCCCTTATATACCCCGACGAAGCCGCGCCCCGCCCACGGCGGCGCTTTCTGGCCAATCGCCGCCAAGGCTCCCGGCACGCCGGCCAATGGCGGAGAGGCGGAGGGGCGGGGACTGCCGGAGACCGCCCCGTCGGGTGCGAGGCGGCTCCTCCAGGCCGGGGGGGGGCGCCTGTCTGTCTGCGGGCGGAAGTGGGGCCACAACCGGAAGTCACGGTTGCTAGGAGACAGGTGGGACGCTGGCCGCTGGGCCTGGGGTGGGGGGGAGCGACCGGTACCGGCGTTGGGGGGGCGGGGTGAGCGGAAGGAGTGCGGGGGCGATGGGGCCTGGGGGTACCCCGAAGTGGGGGGATCCTGAGGGAACCCCAGGAGGAGGAGATGGGGTTGGACAGGGGGGAACGGCGCCGGGAGGGACCCTGGAGAGGCCGCGGCGGGGACCCCGCGCAGCCCCCCCCGCCTCACACCGTGTGCCCGGGCCTAGCTGCCATGTCGGACGAACGGCGGCCGCGGGCAGCAGCCTCGGTGGCGGTGGAGGACAGGCTCCTGCTGCTGCAGAGCCAAGCACTGGAAGAGGAGGAGGCGGCCAAGATGAAGGGAGAGATGCTCAGCCGGTTCCTGAAGGTGCGTGGGGAAGGGACCGGGGGGGGGGGGTTGGCACTGTCCCCCAGCCCCTGACCCCACCCCTCACGGTCCCCCACGCAGGACAAGCTGGCCAAGGAGGAGCGCAGCAGCACCCTGAACCTCCACAAGCTCAGCGCGCAGTGGCGGGCGGTGCTGCGGCAGACCAAGGACGAGGAGCTTCGCCGGGATGTCGAGATCCTCAGCCAGACCTTCGCCCGGGTGATGGACGGCAAGGACAGTGTCATCGAGGTGAGCGGCGGGGCTGGCGGGGTGGGGATGGCACTAGGGCCCACCCATGACCCCCCCAAAACCTCCCGCAGTCCCTGGTCACAGACCTGGAGGAGGCGGAAGAGCAGCACGCCCGGGCTCTGCGCAGCCACCTGCACAACGTCGACCGGCTGCTGCAGCTCCAGCGCTGCCGCCTGACATGCCTGGAGGAGGGGTACAACGCCCAGCTTCAGGCCCTGCAGACAGAGTTTGAGGCCGAGAGGTACTGAGTTTGGGGCTGAGAGGGGGAGAGGAGCAGCAGTGGCACCCCTGGGCTATCCTGTCCTGGTGCTGAGCCCGGTTGGGATCACCGCACCTTCCCTCCAGCAGCAGCTCCCCCGGGTTTTCTGCAGGAGGACCATCCTTGAGCAGCACGAGCGTGAAAGCTGCTACCTGCAGGCCGTGACGCTGGCCACCGAGCAGAATTACGCCAAGAACAACCACGAGGCCACGCTGAATTTCGAGAGCACCCGGGACGACATCAAAAACAAGGCACGGGCAGGGGGGAGGAACTGCTGAGGAGCATTTTAGGGCTTGTGAGCAGAGTGCGTGGCGAGGTTTAGGAGGTGGTGGGTCACCCCCCCACCCATGTCCATCTCCCAGAGCTTGCAGGAGAAGCAGTACAGCCGCATGCAGTTGGACGGGAAGGTGGAAGTGCTCTGGGAGCAGTTCCAGCGCGCCATGCAGAGCTACGCGGAGGCCACCAAGCACCAGAAGATCGCTTTCGAGGCGCTGAAGCAGAAGGACGAGAAGAGCTCCAGGGAGATCGAGATGCAGGCGAAGAAGCTGCAAAAGCTCCAGGTTGTGGCGGGGGGCGCAGGGGGTGGCGGTGGGAGTGGGAGACTCCCTCATCCCGCTGCTCACGTTTCTCCTGTCCCCAGGACTTGGTCGCAGCCACCAAGGGCCGGATCACGGCTCACCTCCGGGAGAGCGAGGAGCGGAACCGGCACATGCGGGAGGAGAAGGAAAAGGTCCTTGGGCAGCTCCAGGAGCTCAAGAGCAAGATGAACCAGGCCAGGATTAAGGCCCACGGCAGCCTGGCCCAGCTCACCATGCAGACCAGCGCTGCCCTGAGGGTGCTGGTGCGGGTGGTGGAGAAGGTAAGGCTGGCAGCCCAGGAGCAGGGGGAGCTCTGGGGGTCCCCTCCTGCCCTCCCTTCATTTTCATCCCCTTCCTCCAGGCCCAGCGCATCTTGCGACTGGCTGAGATGTGCCGCAGGCTGGAGACGGAGGAGGAAAAAGTGCTGCCCTTCTACCTTTCCTCGCTTGCGGAGGGCGAGCAGCGAGACGCCCGGCAAGTCCTCGAGGAGACGCCCGCGGAGCCCCTGGCCCGGGTGAGGGGGCAGCGAGGGTCAGGCTCCAGCTTTGGGGACAACCCGGCTGGTGTGTGGGCAGGTTGGGGACCCCCTGCCCTTCCTCCTCCCTGCCTCTCACCCAGGCCATGCGGGACTACGTGGGGCTGGAGCGGTTCTGGCAGCGGTTCAACAAGGCGAAGCTGGAGGAGCAGGCGCTGGAGCGGGAGCGGGCAGCCCTGAGCCAGAGGAACCGGCGCCTGCGGGAGCTGCTCAGGCAGTACCTGGCGGGGATCTCCGTCAACTCGGAGGTGCTCAGCGAGCCCAACCCGCTCCTCGCCGTCGAGCGCAAAAGCTGCGTCCCCAGGGACTGGCCCCGTGCCCGCGGGGGACATGCATAAGGTGTTCAGGGTGCTGCACTCCCCCTCCGACACCCTTTTGGGAGGGGACACCCGCTGAGAACCCCCCCTGTGCTTTTTCTTGTTTCTTCCCAGTGGCCCCCCCAAGCAGACCAGGGCCCCTCATGCCGCAGTGCTCCCTCTGCATTAACGACGTCTCGTGCTACTTCTTGCTGCCCGGCAGTGCCATAAGAGCTAAACTGCACCCAAAACCGTGCTCCAGGGTCTTCTTTCTGGGTCCCACTGAGCAGCTATGGGTCTGTCCCCTCCCGCTCGGGTTGGACGTGTCAGCTCCTCGGCCCCCCATGCCAAATCCCTGCTGCTGCAGCGGGCAGGGAGCTTGGAGGGCTTGGGGGGGGTGCACAGCCCCTTCCCACTGCTCTGCTCACCCTCCCCCCCACCCCGAGCTGGCCAGAGCAGCCGAGGATGCGGAGGGGAAAGGTTTTATTTCTTTTTGGCTTTGTTCCTCTTCTCCTCCTTCAGTTTCTTCTTGGAGAGCTTGGGGCTGCTGGCTTTGCGGTAGAGGTGGTACCCGATGAGCCCCAGCAGCGCCGGCACCAGCCCCAGGCACAGCAGTGGCAGCACCTCGTTCACCACCTTCTGCCAGTAACTGGCCCGGGACAAAGCGACCAGTTCCACCTCGAACCGTAGCACCGCGTCCCCTGGGGAGGGGAGGGGGGGGAAGGGGGGCAGAGACTGAGTGGGGGCCACGGAGTGAGGAGCGGGGGGGAGGGGGATGGACCCCACGGGGACCCCGAGGGCTGCGCTCACCTGGGATGGTGGGAGGGGAGCCCCGCTTGCCGTAGGCCAGGTGAGGGGGGATGATGGCTCTCCGCTTCTCCCTGCCGCGGCGAGAAACCGTCAGCACCGGTGCAGAGGGGACAGACCCCCACCAAAATCGGGGGGGGGGGGGGGGGGGGCCACTTCCCCCCTCCCCACCCCACTTACCCCACACACATGTCCAGCAGACTTTGCTCCAGGCCTGTGAGGAGAAGGGGTGGGGTGGAGTGGGGTGAGCAGGGGCATCCCACAGCCCGCTCAGATCCCAGTTACACCCCCCGCGGTGTCCCAGTGTGTGTCCCCCCCGCTGTGTCCCAGTATCCATCCTCCCCCCCCCCCCAGCCCCTCACTCACCAGGGATGACTTGGCGCTTGCCCAGCTCCACCTGGAGTGGGTCCCGGCTCAGCGAGGTGTCCACGATGCGGCCATCCTCCAGGCTGCCCTGGGGGGACACAGCGAAAGTTCTGCCCCAGGGCTGTCCCCACGTGGGCCCCAGCATTGTCCCAGTGCCACCCCCGTGCTGATCCCAGTGCCACCCCCAAGGACGCCGCCACCCCGCTGCCAGGGCCATCCCGGGGCAATCCTTATGCTGGTCCCAGTGCCGACACACGCCGGTCTCAGTGCCACCTCTGTGACTGTCCAGGTGCCACCCAGGGCCCATCCCAGAGCTGTCACCATCCCTGTCCCAGTGCTGTCTCTATACCAGTCCCAGTACCTGTCCCAGTGCCACCCCAGAGCCATTCCCATGCCCACTCCAGTGCCACCCCCACACCCACCCCCAATACCACCATAGTGACACCCCCACGCCCACTCCGGTGCCAGTTCCAGTGCCACCCCGGTGCCACTCCCATGCCCACCCCAGTGCCATCCTGGTGCCAGTCTCAGTGCCATACTGGTGCCATTCCCATGCCCGTTCTAGGGCTGCCCAGTGCCACCCCCATGCCCACCCCAGTGCCATCCTGGTGCCAACTCATGCCCATTTTGCTGCTGCCCCAGTGCCACTCTGGTGCCAGCCCCAGTGCCTGTCCCAGTGCCACGCTGGTGCCAGTCTCGATGTCACCCTGGTGCCAGTCCCATGCCCACCCCCGATACCACCCCGGTACCACCCCCCTTGCCCACCCCGGAGCTGCCCCGGTGCCGGCCCAGTCCCCCCCGGTGCCGGTGCCGGTGCCGGTGCCGGTGCCGGTGCCGGTGCCGGTGCCGGTACCGACGCCGGGGCCGCCCCCGCCCGCCCCGCCCGCCGGAGCGCAGTGCTGACGTGTTCCTCCCGCCGCCCGCCCCGCACCGTGTAGTGGATGTGCACCGTGTCCCCCGGCGCCGACAGCTCCGTGCAGCCCTCGGGGGGGGCCACCTGCAGCGGGGGGACGGGGGCAGAGAGAGCCGGGACGGGTGTCACCACCACCACCCCCCCCACACACACACACACCTCGGGCTCCACGCACCCCCCGTGAGCCGGACTCCCGCCTCCCACCCCAGACCCTCCCCGTGCCCCGGGCTCCCACTCCGCAGACCGGGCCCCCCCAAGTGCCCCCCGTCATCCGCAACCCGGTCCTCCCGTCGCCCCATGTGCCCCCCGCCCAAACCGGGCTCCCACGTGAGCCCCCCCCCTCCCCGCGCCCCCTCCCCCCCCCCCCCCCCCCCCCCCGCGGAAGCAACATCATCCCGCCGGTGTCCCCGCCGCGCCGCCGGTGTGTTCCCCCTCTCCCGCCCCATCCCGGTCCCAGCTCCCCGCCCAAGGGGGGGCCGCCGGCGATCCCCGGTTCCCCCGCTCCCCTCCGGTTCCCCCGGGGCCTCACGAGCGTTTCCAGCCGCAACCCCCGGGCGCCGCTTTCGGTTTCGCTCTCGGTGGCGGCGGGAGTCGGCGGCAGCAGCAGCAGCAGCAGCAACGCGGCGGGGGGCGGCATGGCCGGGCTGGCGGCGGTGGCACCGGGACCGGGACCGCCCCCCCACCCCCCCCAACCCCAAACCCCGGCCCGGGCCAGCCCCCGGGCACCGCCCCCCCCCCCCGGGCACCGCCCCCGCCAGCACCGGGACCGCTCCGCGGGACAAGCAACTCGCCGTCGTGGCCACCAGACCTGCCCCGAGCCCCTCGGGGGCGGGGGGGTGGGGTGGGGTGTCACCGATCCCGGCCGCCCCCCCGGGTGCCCGGGGACACGCGTTTATCCGCGCTCTGGTGTCACGCAGTCCGGGCGGGCACCGGGCGCCCGTCTCAGGCCCGGGGACTGGCCCGGTGGTCCCGGGCTGAACCGGTCGCTCCTGCCCATCTCGGGGGGGGGATCCGGTCTTGGGGGGGGGGGGGGGGGGGGGGGGTCTCGTCCCAGGGCATCGGGTGGTTGAAGCGCCCGTTGTACCGGCGCCGTCGGGACTCGGTACCAGCAGGCGGCAGCAAAGCCCGGAGAAACCGGCACCCACCCGGGCTCAGGACCCCTCCCCAGCACCCACCCGGGCTCAGGACCCCTCCCCAGCACCCACCCGGGCTCAGGACCCTCCTGCAACACCCACCCGAGCCCAGCATCCTTCTCAAGCACCCACCCAGGTTCAGCATCCTTCCCCAGCACCCAGCGGGTGCAAAGCACCCCTTCTCCCAGCACCCCAGCACCCCTTCCTGCCCCCCTGGCTGGGGGGGGTCGGGGGGGGACAAGGGGAGCCGAGCCCCCAGCCAGCGAGGAGCCGGACTGAGGGGGCTGGGCTGGGTCCCCGCAGGGAGCCAAATCTGCCCCAAAGCCCCCATGTCCCCTGGGGGAGGTCACCAGCCCACAGCTGGGAACACGGGGAGCAGCCCCAGCTCGGGGTGGGGTGGGGAGGGTTCACACCGGCCCATGGCAGGTAGCCCAGCTCCCTCGCCCCGTGCCGGCGGCGATGGCCCTGTTGCTGGTGGTGGTGGCCCCGTTGGCGGCGGCAGCCCCGGTGCAGCTCCCGGACGACGGCATCGGCACGCCGGCCCCACCGGCGCACCCACATACCAGCCCCGGTTGCCGAGAGGTGGGGAAGCCGGGCTGGCGGCTGGGGGCCGGGGCACTAATGGGATTAGGGCCACCGGGTCAGCGCCGGGCTGGCCCCCGCCAGACAAAGCCGCTGGCCCGGCCGGTGGGAACGCGCCGGTGCCGGCTCCGCGGCTCCCAGCCCACTGAGGAACCCCAGTCACCCCCACTCCAGCCCCCCCCCCCCCCACACACACACAGGAGGAACCCAGGAAACCAGCACCTCACCCGCTCAGTGTCACCAGCACAGGAAGGGGGGTCCTGGGGGCCAACAGCCCCCCCCCTTTCCAGCCACCAACCCAGACGGGACACGGGGATGGGGACAGTCCCCAAACAGGACACAGCCGGTCCCCTAGCCCATGTCGAGGGGTGACACTGCGGGGGGGGCTGAGCCCCACTTGTGCCCATCCCAGCGCTGGCACCGTCCCCACACCCCGGCTGGGATTAGCACTAATGGGATTTACCATTTCATCCAATATTCCCCTAAAGATGAGCCTGGGAAGGGGGGGGGGGGGGGGCCTCCCCTCACCCTCCCCGCCAGCCCCCCTCACCCCGCTAAGCTCTTTCTAATTAAAACCAGCCTGGGGCTGTCCATCACCGTCCCCCCCTCCACGGGACCCCCGCGCTGGGGGGGGCTGCTGAAGAAGAGCCATGGGGCAGCACTACATAAAACATGTTTAATATCCAAGGGGGGGGGGCTGGGGGTCACCCACCATCTCAGGCGTGGGGTGGGGGGCGAGTACACACGTCCCCGGACGGGGCAGAGCCGCAGCGACACGTCACACCAAGCACAGACCGGGGGTATAAATACGGTGCTGGGGGGGAGGGGGGTACAGTATGGGGCCGTCCGTCTGTCCGTCCGTGAGGGGCAGGGACATACAATCACTATGCTGGCATGGGGTTGGGGTGCAGGTGGCCAGGGCTGGGGGGGGGGGGGGGGGGCTGTGCACTGCCAGGAGGACCATGGGGGTCCTGGCAGCCTTGTACCTCCCCCGTGGGGGTCGCGCTGCGGGGAGGAGACCTGCCTCGAAGTGACATGGAGGGACCGGGGACGTGTGGGACCCCCAGGGGGACATGTGGGGTGGGAAGGGGGGAGGATTGGAGGGAGAAGGGGGTGTGTGTGGTCCCAAATTCCCCCCTGCGGCCCTGCTGCCCCCACATTTGGTCCAGAGGAAGGCGAGGGGTGCGGGGACATGCACGGGGACGGGGTACCCTGGCATGGCCCCCCCGGGCAGGGCAGTGCCGAGGCAGCCCCCCATCCCGCTCCCCTGGGGGCTCTGCCCCCCCCACCCCCCGATACGTTATATATAGCTATATTTCCACGCACGCACACACGAGATCCGAGGGGAACCGAGGAGACCCCAAAAAAAGGCGAAAAAAACCCCACAGCAACCGGTGCCAGAAGAAAGCAAAACCCAACCGAGGCGGGGAGGGGGCGGCCGGGGTGGGGGGGGGGCCTGGCATGGCCCCAGGGTGCAGGGGGGGGGCTGGGGTCAGCGGCTGCCCGCTCACTTCTTGTTCTTGAGCTGGTTGGCGAGCCAGTCGAGGCCCTCGTAGAGCCCGTCCCCGCTGGTGGCACAGGTGGCCTGGATGTACCAGTTACGGTGGCGCAGGGAGTGGAGCCCCAGCTTGTCCGTGATCTCCGCCGCGTTCATGGCGTTGGGCAGGTCCTAGGGCAGAGATTGGGGAGGGGGGGGGAAAGGGGGGGTCACACACCAGGTGTGTGTGTCCCCCCTGCCCCGACAGCACAGGGATGGGTGGCCATGGAGGGCCGGGAGAGCCGGGGGGGATAAGTGGCATCAGCCCTGATGCCACGGGGATGGGCGTTATCCCACCTCCCAGCCCTGATGCCACAGGGAGGAGGGATGGGTCTGCCATGGGGATGTCATCCACCAGCCCCGATGCCACGGGGATGGGCACGGGCCAGCCAAAGCTAGTGTTAAAAGCCAGCCCTGATGCCACGGGGATGGGCACGGGCCAGCCAAAGGGAGCGTTAAAAGCCAGCCCTGATGCCACGGGGATGGGCACGGGCCAGCCAAAGCGAGTGTTAAAAGCCAGCCCTGATGCCACGGGGATGGGCACGGGCCAGCCAAAGGGAGCGTTAAAAGCCAGCCCTGATGCCACGGGGATGGGCACGGGCCAGACAAAGCGAGTGTTAAAAGCCAGCCCTGATGCCACGGGGATGGGCACGGGCCAGCCAAAGGGAGGGTTAAAGCCAGCCCTGATGCTGCGGGGATGGGCATGGGTCAGCCAAAGGGAGGGTTAAAGCCAGCCCTGATGCCACGGGGACGGGCGCAGCCCTGGCACAGGGGCTGTTTAATGGCAGCCCCCGACGCCACAGAGATGGTCCTGCCACACGGTCTCTTCGACACCAGCCCCGACGCCCCGGGGATGGCCACGCTCCTGCTGCAGCCCCCCGAGCCCCGATGCCCCAGGGATGGTCCCAGTGCCCCCACCCCCCCCAGCCCCACCTGCTTGTTGGCGAAGACGAGGAGGACGGCGTCCCGCAGCTCGTCCTCCGCCAGCATCCGCATGAGCTCCTCCCGCGCCTCGTTCACCCGCTCCCGGTCGTTACTGTCCACCACGAAGATCAGCCCTGGGGACGGCGAGCGGGCGCTGCTGGGATCCAGCCGGCCCCACGGACCTCCCCCCCTTACCCCCCCAGCGAGCCCCCCCCGAGGGTGTGGGGGGGGAACCTACCCTGGGTATTTTGGAAGTAATGCCGCCAGAGGGGCCGGATCTTGTCCTGCCCACCCACGTCCCACACGGTGAAGCTGATGTTCTTGTACTCCACCGTCTCCACGTTGAACCCTGCGAGGAGCGACAGCGGAGGGAAACTGAGGCACGCGGGGCCGCCAGCCCCCTCCTGAGGCGCCCTGATGGGGAGGGGTCCCCGCTTGGTGCCTGTCCCCCGCCCCGCCGCACACCTATGGTGGGGATGGTGGTGACGATCTCTCCCAGCTTCAGCTTGTAGAGGATGGTGGTCTTCCCGGCGGCGTCCAGCCCCACCATCAGGATCCGCATCTCCTTCTTCCCGATGAGGCTCTTCAGCAGGTTCCCAAAGATGTTGCCCATGGTGACGGCGGCGCTGGCTCCGTCTGCAGGCGAGGCCGGATCCTGCGGGGGCACGGGGCAGGCGCTGGGGTGGGGGGTGGCCCTGAGAACTTGGGGAGGGGGAGGCGGCAGGGATCCCCCCAAACGCTGCTCCCGGGAGCTGCGGGAATCAGGGACCCCCACGTCACGGTGGGGGGGGGTGTGTGTGTAGGACTTGGGGGATCCCAGGGCGGGGGGGTTCAGGGATCGGGCTACATGCCCCTCTAGGCAGCTCGGTGTGGGGGTCCGTGTTGGGGATATGACCCCCCCCGCCCCCCCGTGCTGTGCCCTACAAGGGGACAGGCCCGGGGTCTGTACTGAGGGAAACTGAGGCACGGATCCCAGCCCTCCTCGCAGGAAGCGCAGCCCCCACACCCCACCAGGCCCCCCCAGCGGGGGGACACACACCTCCCCGCACCGCGGCGCGCCCCCCCCGACCGTGGGCTGCTGCCCGCCCCCGGGGTCCGTCCCCCCCGCCCCGCAACCCCTCGGTGCGACGCCCCCTCGAATTCACAGCCTCTCCACCCCGCTCGCACTGCGCCCCTCCAACGCACCCCCCCCCCAACCCCCCCCGGATTGCAGCACACCCCCAAATCGCCGCCCCCCCCCCCCAGCTCTGCACCGCCCCCCCCCCCCCCGCCGCATCGCCCCCCGCCCCCGCACGCCGCACCGCCCCAGGCGCTACCCCCCCGCCGTACCCCGCGCCCCTCCCGCTGCACCGCATCAACCCCCCCCTCGCCCCCCCCCCCGAGATGCCGCCCCCCCCGCTTAGCGCTCCGCGCCCCCCCAATGCACCGCACACCCCCAAGCACGCTGCAGCCCCCCAAAGGCGCCGCTGCGGTGCCCACCCCCCCCACCCCCCGGCCCCGGTGCAGCGCAGCCGGTGATGCACGGGCTCTCCCCCCCCGCCGCCGCCGCCGCTCCCGGTGCGCCCCCCCCCCACACCTGGTGCCGGTGCCGGTGCCGCCCCCCGCCCGCAGCTGACTCTGCACCGCTCCCGCCGCCGGAAGCGGAGGCCCGATCGCGTCGATCTCGCGAGAGAGCCCGGTGTCCCCGTTCCCCCCCCCCCCCGCCTCCACCCCCCCCAACTGCTCCGCTTCCCGCCCCCCCCCAACCCCAAAACTCCCCCCCCCCCACTCCGCACCGGGGGCGCGCGGAGGGTGGGGGGGGGGGTGTCCTTGCTCGCGAGAGCCGTGAGCCGTTTCTATGGCAGCGGCTGCAGCAGTGCTCGGGGGAGGGGGGTGTGCAGAGGGAGGGGTGGGGTGATAGGGTGGAGGGGAGCGGGGGGGGGGGGGTCCTGGTGCCCCCCCCCCCCCCCCCCCGGCATAAGCACCGGGGGGCAGAGCCCCGTCCGGGCGGGAGGCGGCATGTCGGGGAAGGGGGGGTGCCCTGTGCTTCATGGGAGAGCGAGGACCCCAAAAATTGCACGGGGAGGGTGGGGACAGGGGACCCCAATAACCACCCGGGGGTCCCCAGGGATCCCTCCCCCGCACAGGGTCCCCGGGCCAGGCTGGAGCCCACCCAGCCCGGCCCAGTACCGGCGGTACCGAGGCCGTCCCGGTGCTGACGGGGCAGGCAGCGGGTGCGGGGCACCCCCGGCTCCCACCCCCCCACCCCGTCCCTCGGTCCGCCCAGCTGTCCCGCTGTCCATCCGTCCGTCCATCCCTGCTCGGTGCGGCGGGACGAGACGGGACGCACACACCCCTCACACCACATACACCCCCCCCCCCCACCGCACCGGGCAGGTAGGTCAGGGCGGTGGCACCGGTAGCACCGACCCCCCCGACGGCAGCGGGAGCCGCCCCGTGTCACCGGGCTCCCGCGGACACTCCGGGGCCGGGGGGGGGAGTCCCGAGCATCCCCCCCACCCCCCTCCCCGCCCCACCGGGGCCGCCGCTGGGCTGCGCGGGGAGATCGGGGGGCACCGGGGGGGATCGTGGCAGCGGGAGGCGGTGGGGGACGGGGCGGGGAGGTCGTGTTTGGGCCCCGCCGGCGGTGGCACGGACCCCCCCGGGCAGGGCCCTCCCGGCCGCGCCCCGGGGCCTCCCCGCGGCCGCTGACCTCAGCCCCGGGAGCCCCGACGGGGCGGCGGCCCGAGGGCGCGGACACGGCCTGGCCCGGCCGGCAACCGGGGCGGGAGCCGCCGTCCTGGAGCAGACCCCGGGGACGGGGGAGGGCGTGAGTGGGGGGTGGGGGGGTGCCCGGTGCGACACCCCCCCCTCCCCCCAGCCCCTCCCTCCCGCCCCGCCGCCGGTCCGGCCTTTGTCCGTCCTTGAATTAAAACCGTGAGCGGCGGCCCCGGGCCGTGACGGGCGAGCGGGGCTAATCCGGCCCCGCATGACTGGTCCGGGGAAACCGCCGCGGGGGGATTACCACACCCCCCCCGCACCCCGCCACAACGGGAGGGGGGGTCAGCTCAGCCCCGCACCGGGGAGTTCACTCCCGCTTCCCCTCCTCCCAATCCCCCCCAGTCGGGGGACAGCGGGGAAGGAGCCTCGTCCCCACCGAGCAATGTGCCAGCACCGGACCCGCGTCACCGTGCCCTGACCGTGGGGACCCCAGGCAGCCCCCCCCGCGGCCGGGCACCCCCCTGCCAACCCCTCCATCACCTCACGGCCTCTGTCCCTCCATCCCTCTTCCCCCGGTCCATCCCTCCCTCCAACACTCGGTACCTGCCCCGGGGCAGCCGTTTCGCACCCACGGGGGTTGCACACGCCGTGGGCGCCCGTGGGGACGTTCACGGGGAGCCCGGGCTGCAGGACCGGTGGTCGGGTGGCCAGGACAGCCCAGGACAACCCAGCCCCGAGCAGCGAAAGGACGCGACCGCCCCGTCGCTCCGGGCACGGTTCGGTCCGGGTGGCAGCCGCCACGGGAGAGGGGTCCGGGGGCTCCGGACCGGCACCGGTGACCGGCGCAGCCCCGACGGTCCCGCGCCCCGGGGGGAGCTGCACGTCCCCGTCGTTCCCCCCTCTCAAACCCGGGGATCCCGGGACTACGGTCCGCTGTGCGTCCCGGGCTGTCCCGGGACTCTGCCCCTCCCGTGCGCCCGGGGCTGTCCCGGGAGATCCCGTCACTCCCCTCCCCCGTGCGCGCCGGGCTGTCCCGGGAGATCCCGGGCTATCCCCGGCCCCCGCTCCCTCCGTGCGCCTAGAGCTGTCCCGGGCCGTCCCGGGCTATTCCGGATCCTCCTCCCCTTTGTACCGGGAGCTGTCCCGGGCCGTGCCGGGCTCCCGGTACCGGCAGAGCGTGTGCGCGGGCCGGCGAGACCGGGCGGAGAGAGGGCGGGGGGCGGCAGCCGGGCCCCCCCGGCCGCGCTCTGGGCACGGGGCCGGGGCGCAGCCACCCGCCGGGCTAATCCGGGCCGTGACGGACAGGCCCGGCGCCGCCGCTCCGGCCGCCCCATAAGAGGTGCCGCGGCTCCGCCGCTCCCCATTGTTAGGGCGAGGACGCGGGGAGGCCCCGCTCGGCGGGACCGGCCCATGGGGACCCTCCGCGCCGCCCCTATAAGAGGGAAGGGGCTGGAAGATGCTCCCGGGTGCTGAGCGCTGCGCACCCGCCGCGCCGAGACGAGTCCAGCCGCGCTGCCTCCCCGGGGAGTCACCGGGTACCGCGCACGGAGCGCCGAGCACCCGGCTACCGGGCACCGAGCACCGGGCACCGGGTACAGCGCACGGAGAGCCGAGAACCGGCACCGGGTGTAGCGGGCACCCGGCACCGGGTACCGCGCACGGAGCGCCGAGCACCGGGCACCGAGCACCGGGCACGGACCGCCCGACGCCGCGCTCCAGGGACCGGGCAGGGAGCGCCGGGCATCGCAGACCTGCACCCCGAGCCCCAGGCACCGGCTACAGCCCGGTGCCGGTGTCGGTGCCGGCTCGCCCGCCCGGCGCTCCCCGCGTCCCCCCGCGGCCGCCCTCATCGGAGCCGCCCGCCCTGCCCGCGCCCCGCGCGTCCGGAAACACGCGTGGATGTAGCGGCCGGGCCGGGGGCTCCGCGGCACCATAAATACCCCGGCGGCCGCTCGCCCGCGCATTCTGCCGGGGCCTCCCGGTGCCGGAGCCATGCGAGCCGCCGCACTGGGGCTGGCGCTCCGGGCGCTCTGGGCTCTGGCCCTCTCCTCCCTCTCCAACACGCTGGCGGTGAACAACAGCGGACGGTGGTGGTGAGTCCACCGGCACCGGTACCGGGGCTGAGGACGGCGAGGCGGGGCAGCGGGGGGGGGGGGGACGCGGAGAGGGGCTGGCACCAGCAGAGCACCGGCTGCCCCCCGTACCTGGGGATTTGGGGACACACACACACACAGGGCTGTGACCCCTGGGTGGGCGCTGGCTGTGGGGGATGTCTGGGGAGGAGGATGCTCCGGTAGCTGAGAGGAGCCGTGTCAGGAACCCCCCTGGGGGGGTTGTTGAGGTGGGGAGCAGGGTGCTGGGGACCCCTCCCCGCTGATGGCCGTTCCCGCCTGTGCCGCAGGGGCATCATCAACGTGGCCTCGTCCACCAACCTGCTGACGGACTCCAAGAACGTGCAGCTGGTGCTGGACCCCAGCCTGCAGCTGCTGAGCCGCAAACAGCGCAAACTGATCCGGCAGAACCCCGGCATCCTGCACAGCGTCAGCTCCGGCCTCCAGACAGCCATCAAGGAGTGCAAGTGGCAGTTCCGCAACCGCCGCTGGAACTGCCCCACCTCCCAGGGCCCCAACATCTTCGGCAAAATCGTCAACCGGGGTGAGGCTGCGGGGAGGCGGTGGCGGAGGGGTCCCCCCGGACCCCCCTCTGCGGTAGCCCTGAGCTGGGTTGCTTGGCAAAGCACCCCCGGTTTTCTGTGGGGTATCACCAGCCCGTCGTGGCTGTGGGTTGGGGGTGCTGGTGGGTGTCCCCTCCCCGTTCCGGCAGCACCCTGAGGTCCCACTCCCCTCCGCAGGGTGCCGTGAGACAGCGTTCATCTTTGCCATCACCAGCGCTGGCGTGACGCACTCGGTGGCCCGATCTTGCTCGGAGGGATCCATCGAGTCCTGCACCTGTGACTACCGGCGCCGCGGCCCCGGGGGGCCCGACTGGCACTGGGGGGGCTGCAGCGACAACATCGACTTTGGGCGCCTCTTTGGGAGGGAGTTTGTGGACTCCAGCGAGAAGGGCCGTGACCTGCGCTTCCTCATGAACCTGCACAATAACGAGGCTGGGCGCATGGTGAGGGCATGGGGGGCTGTGGGCAGCCCGGGGGGGACGGACACACACGGGGGTGGGCACAGCCGCAGTGACCCCCCAGCCTGTCCCCGTGCATGGGAACCATCAGAGAGGTTTTTCCCACCCAGCTTTGGGTGGGCTGAGCATGACGCGATGCCACGGGGAAGAGGGGTGCGGGAGCACGGTGGTCCGCAAACTGGGGAGTCCCAGATTGCTCACAGCACCCCACATCCCCCCCCCCTCCATTGCAGACGGTCTTCTCGGAGATGCGCCAGGAGTGCAAGTGCCACGGCATGTCGGGCTCCTGCACCGTCCGCACGTGCTGGATGCGGCTGCCCACCTTCCGCGCCGTGGGTGACGTGCTGAAGGACCGCTTCGACGGCGCCTCCCGCGTCATCTACGGCAACAAGGGCAGCAACCGGGCGTCACGGGTGGAGCTGCATCACCTGGAGCCCGAGAACCCGGCCCACAAACCCCCCTCGCCCCACGACCTCGTCTACTTCGAGAAGTCCCCCAATTTCTGCACCTACAGCGGAAAGACGGGGACGGCGGGCACGGCCGGGCGCTTCTGCAACAGCTCCTCGCCGGGGCTGGATGGGTGCGAGCTGCTGTGCTGCGGGCGCGGGTACCGCACGCGCACCCAGCGCGTCACCGAGCGCTGCAACTGCACCTTCCACTGGTGCTGCCACGTCAGCTGCCTGAACTGCACCAACACGCAGGTGCTGCACGAGTGCCTGTGAGCCCCCCCCCGTCCCTGCCACCCCCAGGGGACCACCCTGCCCAGCCCCGGAGGGGTCTCATGCCACCCCCCATGACGGGTGCCTGGCTGGATTGAAGGTGCCCATAGGTGGGCGTGTGGCTGCA